ATAAACCAGCGACCGTCAACGCCGTCGTAACCGTCTCCCCCCACACACAAAATGAGCCCGTGGGTGTACGGCTACACGAGGGCATTTATCAAGGGAGAATAACATATGAATCCTAAAATACTAAATTAGTTATAGTTAAGTCGTTAATAAATTTAAAAAAATATAATAAAATTCATCTAAATTTTATTAATGATAATCTAGTTTTTTAAAATATTATAATATTAATTTAATTTGTATAGACTTCTGGGTCAATACATTTTTAAATAAAAAATTATTTTATTATTATTAAAAATAATAAACCTCAATTATAATTTTTATTTTGTAAATTATAAAAATTAAAATAATAAATCACAAGTTATCAAATACAGTTTTTATTTTTAAAAAATAAATATCAACTATAATTTTTATTTAAAAAATATAACTTCCTGACTTCTGACCGTGAACTTTTATCATATCAAATAACTAAATGTCAGAATCCATAAATAGTTAAACACTTTTAGAGGGAGGGAGGGGGGGGGGGGGAGAATGATAAATAATAAAGATAAATAATAATAATTAAGAAAAAATAATTTTTTAACTTTTTAACTTTTAACTCACTTATAACTCATTCCCTCAATTATAACTTGCTGCGATTCAGTCCCTCAGTTTTTAATTTACTTATAACTCGATCTTTATTTTTTAATTTTTTTAAAAAAATTTCTTATCAAATAAGAAGGATAAAAAAATACTCATATATTATTTTAAAATATCCTTTCCTTACTTATTGATGTGAGATATAAGCTAATTTAAAAAAAATTAATAAAAATTTAGGAATTAATTTATAAGTGATTCAAAAGTCTGAGTCATAAATAAATTATAATTGAAGGACCGAATTAAAAGTTAAAAAATTAAAAAATTAATTTTTCTTAATAATTAAATATAATGCAACGAAACCAATGGGGGAAGGTTCTGGTGAGTGGAGTCGTGGACTGGAAAGCGACCTGACCTTCCTTGTAGTAGAGTGGCGTCAAATACGCGTGCTGAATTATAAAATACGCTTGGGTTATTCATAATATTCAGAAAGACAAGCCACCAAATCAAAAGGGTGTGTATCTGTGGTGCTGCAAAAACTCACATAATGGTAATTTTTCTGTCAAAGCAGCATATAGGTTGGTGAACCAGCAGAATGAGAAATCTCAGAGTGATGTTCGGAGTAGTTTTTGGAAATGGACAATTCCTGAAAATATCAAATACTTTATGTGGCAGGTATCCCTGGACCCATTGCCAACAAATTTTCTCCTCAGTAAACATTTAGTAGAGTTACATCATACTTTCGGAAGGGCATTGGATGTGTTGATATAATGGCTAAACCGGCTCACAGATACGATCAAGAATTTATTTTGTCACCTACGGCACCTGCAGATTGCTTGAACCTCTATGTTGAGGAGCTTAACAGAGTTACTTTACAGTCTTTTGTTTTATTCTCTTTATTATAATGGATTAGCTTAATATTTAAGCGATCGCGTGCCGTTTCATTCCAAAAAATATGTAAATAACGAGTATACTTGTCGTTGAAGTCAAGGTTGGCTTTGGGCGGAATGACAAATCAGAAAAACAGACAAAGTAGGAGGGCATATAGGTACTTTCATCTTTACTATTCCTTCCCTTTGGATTTTGGAACGAAGACAAAATTAGGTGCACGTGCAGACACGCATTGTATTTTCCTTGAATTTTAAATAAAGTCCTCCTACTATAGTGACTTGATTAAAGACAAATTTATAGGATGATCAATCAGTAAGCATGAAGGCCACATGGCGACCACTAATTAACCTCTAATTAATAATCTGTCTTCTTGTACTTAAGTTATGATTCTCGGAGCTTAAACAAAAGCATTAAGTTTATTATAGGTATATTTGTTTAACATTTAAAAAAAAGTAATTTTTATATAGTATTTTATAAAAATATGTTTTATTAGTGTGTATGGAAAAATATTTCTTGAGAGAGGACAATCCCCTTAAATAAATCATCATTTAATTTCTTGAAGCATTAATCTCATGATTGTGAGTGATGGGAATACCTTGAATTAAAAAAAAAAAAAAACATTGTGGCTAATGTACAAAGGTCCACATGAGTTACACACGGTTTGTTTTATTATTATAAATAAATGGGTAGATGGAGTTGGATTCACTAAATAGTTTAACTAAAATTTACCTATTTAATGAGTATTTTATACAACATGATAATAATTATTTGTTTCGATCGAATAATTTTAAGAGATTTGTTATATGATATTCAAAAAGAATCAAATCTCAAATTTTTTAAAGGGATTGCATATGAAAAAAGTATTTTGATCGTGAGATTTATTTTGAATTTTTAAAGAAAAATGTATTTTAATAATTTTTAAAATTTGATAAAAATTAATGGTTATAATTAAAACATCCATTGAGTGGAGACTTGGAATAACAAATAGAGTTAGGACCTTGAGTCATGGATGCAAGATAATTTAATTAAAAGTTAATATATTTTTTAAAATAATTTAGTAATTAAAATACTAATTATCATGTGAATAAAATTATAATAATATAAATAGATTAGTCATCATTTTTATTTTTGAAAAATTATATTGAGTGGATTGATATGATCTTTTAAGTTTTTTATATAAATATGATTTTCTTATTTTATCTTGCTCGTTAAAATATTGTTAAAATATTATATATTTGATAAACTTTTAAACCTAAATATTTTTATGGGTGCAAAAATATTAAGAATAAAGGGTGTAAAATTATAAAGTTTACTTGCACCACTTATAACTTTTTCCCAAATGCAAAGTACATACTCCACAAGAACATGGGCATCATATTTTTGTCTGACATCTTAAGGATTTGGATGTTCGGACACGCACCAATTTTATAATTCTTTGTTAATCAGTATTTATGTTCTTATTTATAAGTTGTTTTATAAGAATAAAAAAGTAATCCTACATACAAATAATAAGATGGCTCATCATCTTCCTACTCCCTTTAATCAATAAGAGTGTAACTAAAAAGTTGAGATATTTTTTAACAAATAAAGTGACATACTTTATCCTCCCTCCACTCAGTATTATAAGATTTTTTTTCCTTCAAAATATCATATTATAAAATATAAAATATTTTAAGTCTTTCAAAATATAGGTGTAACTAATAAAGTTTTTTTAAAACTATTTTTAATTAAATGTGTAATTAATAAAAGTTTCTAATTGTGCCAAAGAGTAAATATGTAAAAAGTATATAATTTTAAAGATAATTAACTAATTAATTAAAAGTATAATTCAACTGAAGATACTTCATAATAAGATTGAAGAATGATAGTTAAGTATCAAAACACTGAATTAATATCAGTTAAATCCTTGATAAATTTTTTTTAAAATAAGTTAACATATAAATTTAAATTATTATAAATTCAGGAGTTTCAATTATAAATAAATATTTAAATATTAAATGTAATTTTTAGATTGTAGCAAAAAATTTTATTTATAATTATTTAAATTAATATTTATAATTTATTCTATAAAAAAATTTGCCAAAAACTTAACTGTTATTAATTGACTTCTTTAAAACTCAAATGTCATTCTTTCAATAATTTTTTAAAAATACGTAAAAAGTGTGTAGATAAATAAGATCGGAGTTGTACAATAGAGATAACAGAAGAGGCAAAAAAACTCATTGAGAGCCTACTTTGGTTAAGAATACCTCAAAACACCAGAGGAGGGAATAATAATAATAATAATTTTTTAAAAACACGTAAAAAATGTCTCAAATATTTTATAAATAAGATCGGAGTTGCATTACACAGATCACGTAACGGTAAAATAAAAGGAAGGAAAGGGCAAAAAGAAAAAGAGAGAAAGGAAAGGAAAGTGGCTAGCTGGGCTCTCCAATTGGAGCACGTCTCTCTCCGTTATGTACTCTGCTCCATACCCCGCCTGCCAATGCCATTCCCGCACGTAACTATCCGTTTTCAATTATAATAATAATAATAATAATAATTAATTAGTCAATTATAATTAATAAAAAGACCGTGACACCAATAAAATCTAAAAATTTGAAGCTGAATGTTTTCCCCCCATAAAGTAGACGTGGTGCTGTCGGTGTTTGTGATAAGTCTTACCTTATGAAATTAATTGTGATTGATAGACAGTCACGAACAATGACTGGTCATTGAACCAGTAGGCATTAGTTTATAGTTTATCATAATTTAAATCGAGATTTGAATCATGATTTAACATATTATAAATAAATAAATATATTTTAAATAACATGAACTTGAAATAAAAAGAAATAGTTATATATAATAAAAATAAATTTTTAGATTTCAAACAAAATAGTATAAAATCAAAAAGAAATATCTATCAATATTTATCATTTTAATTCAAAATATATACTTATTTCTTAATTTATAATTTATAACGTTAAAATATATACATATATACATATTCTATACATATTTTTAAAATTTTTGTTTATTTTTTCATTTATCAATGTTTATTAGTTACTAACATATAATAGTTTGTAAATATGAATTAAAATTAAAAAATAAAAAAAATTAGAGAACCAGTTCAATCAATTTTTTAAATGGTTTTGTCGATTTTAACCGGTTTGAGGCCAGTTCAACCGATTCTTCACAAGCTCTCAACTAAGGCAGTTTTTTACTCTAACCAAACCAAGTGGAAGCCGCCAAATCAGTGGTTCTTATATGTCATGTACAATGGTAGCCCATTTCATCTGAACACAAGAATCTTCTCACCTTCTCCCTTCAATCTGATTTATTGGATACCTTTTTAAAAATAATTTTTAATTTAAAATATAAAATATTTTATAATAATTAAATTATTTTTAAAATTTATTTTTTAATTAGCAGGAAGATATTTCATATAATTATGTTATTATTTAAATTCAAATATATATATATATATATATTTTATGATCATAAAAACACCTGATACGGTTAAAAGGGTTAACGACCACAAAAACCAAAGGGCGTATATAACAAGCCATGGCGTCTTCCACTCTTCGGTCTTTTCTTTTCCAATAAGCTCATGAATCTTCCTTGACCACCCACAAAAATATTGAATCTTTTCTCATCCCAGAGGCTCACAAATCCGAAGGCCAATCGAATTCGTCCCGGTCTTTGACCTTTCACGCTTCACTGTTCATCCTGGTACCGAGTGAAAGGAAGAAGCAAAGCATCTTGTTTTGGCCTGTGAATTTACCACGGAGCAGTAAGTGTTGTTTTTTTTCTAGTTTTCTCTGAGTCTCTGATGGTTAAGGATTTTGCTTTTATTTCATTTGTGATGTGGATGAGACAATCTGAGAAAGTGCATTCTCTTTCATGCATCTGTTTCACTATCCTGCGAAGAATTGGTTTTGGTCTCCACGGAATTCCGGCTTAGATTATGATATTTTGACTTTCCATTTCTCCTGTAATGATTGTTCTGAGGGACTGAATTGAGAATTTGAGTTCGTCTTTACTAAATTTCGTTTCTCTCCCATTTTGTTTTTGGACTACTACTTGTACCTTTTCTTTTGGCCAAATATCTTATAACTCTTTCTTCCTTTATCAATTTCATGTACTCAAATACCAAAATCAATTCGTATGTCTGTTTTCTTTCTTCCACATATCGTTCTTTCTTTGTCTACCCTATTTTCCCATCTGAGTATCACCTGCTAAATTGTTCCCCTTTGGTTTACCTGATCAGAACGCGTATTTGCAGAAGCAAGTGTCATATCTCGGCCTTAAAGTTATATTTGGCAGCCCACCATGATTCCAGATACTACTGATCTAAGTTACTGGTTGAACTGGAGGTTTTTGCTCTGTGCAATATTCATCTTAGCCTCCGTCGTACTTGGATTGTTTTTAATATGGAAGTACGAAGGATTGAAGAGATCAAGACGTCAGGGGAGAGAGAGTCAGCGGGAAGCAGCTGGTTTCTTATATAAGGATGAAGCATGGATGACATGTCTCAAAGGAATTCATCCTGCTTGGCTGCTGGCCTATAGACTAATTGCTTTTCTTGTGCTTTTGGGATTGCTCATTGCTGATGCCGTTTGCAATGGAGGTGGCATATTTTACTTCTATACTCAGTAAGCCTCACATTCATACACTGCAGTATAGTATAAAACAATTCATTGATAAGCTGGATCAAACAATTAAAGAGAATTTCTGTCCTTCCAAGATCCAGTTTTAAGGTTTCTCAGTACCATGCCAAGACATGGTTGATATCTATATAATGGAAAGCCTCAGTTAGAAATGGATGTGCTTCTTATCTCACCTTGGTATGAATCAGGAATGGATCAAGGAAGAGTTAAGGAAAAGAGAAGGATGGGTCTATGATTCATTTTTCAATAAAGTTCGAAACGCTGGTTTTATAACCAGCTCTCCTGAATCCTGATTATAATATGCTGACCGTGTAATTTTGTTTCTTTCTTGTGCTGAACAGGTGGACCTTTTCTTTGGTCGTTATTTACTTTGGGGTAACATCTAACATCTTTAACTCTTTTAGATATTAATTTTAGAAAATCACAGAATAAACTGCAAGAGGACATTTTAGGACTTTTTTCTTCCTTTTTATGGCGTTAGAAGGACCTAGATTGTAAGAAATGCAGCACAACTTACAGGTTCAGATCCTCCTGATAGAGAACAATAGAACTACCTGTCAAATTTCACGATTCATGTATCTTGTTCATACCCCTCCAAGTGACTTATGCTTTCAACTTCTCTTGCAGCTTGGATTATCTTTATCCATATATGGATATCACGTCAACAGAAATAAGTTTGGGGCTGTCATGCCAAGCAGCAATATGGCTTCAACACTTGGAGTTGGTGTAGATATGTCTAACCTGCTGAAGAATTCAAATGCTCTTCAGGAGCCTAATGCACGGGAAGCTGCTGGTGTATGGGTTTATATCTTTCAAATAATTTTTCAGGTAACATTTTTCATGATTTTATTGCTTTAGATATTTCACATGAAAATGTTTAATTTTAATTAATCCAATATCCCAGGTTATATTTTGATGCATTCAATATACAGGAGGGAATTCTTCTAGGGTAGTTAGAACTGACTATCAAATGTAATAGTTAACAACTACCCTTGCGAGATACATATATATATATATATACATAGGTGTCCTATTGGGAAGGAAGGGATTGATTGAATGGAGTTTTCTTGGTTCTGAAATTACCATGTTTGTTGACACTTTGTATCATACTTTATATTTGGAGGCAGCCTCTTGTAAGATGTGTCATGTTTTATACTTATTGAAAACCTGGGTCTCCAAATAACATAATTTCTATTTCTGGTTGACTTTCCAAGGTGCCTGAGACACCATTCAGTGTACACAATTAACCACAACAACACTACCTTATCACCCAAAAAAAAAAAAAAGAGGCAGCAACAGCATTAGCAGATATCTGTTCATTCTCTTGAATCTGGAATGAATATGAGAAACTTATCTTAAGGCATTTTGGGTTTCAAGCCTAAGTCTGTGAGAAAATTTTTACGAGGCAATGACTTGAGTATGCAACACTTGTTTTTTTTTTTTTTTGGGGTTCTTTTACACTGTTTTCTAAGCAAAATACTTGTTAAACCTCGAGAACACTATTGAGAAGGTCATCATTCCCGTTTCTGTGGTAATAATATTTGTTTCATGGAAAAAATTCTTCAGGCTTCAGCAATATGAAGTTCTTGTGATATTTATGTTGGAACAGTAATAATATTGTCCTTTCCAGGAATGCACTTGATTTCCCTGTTTGGAAAACTTTAGATGCAAAGTGCCAGAGCGCAATTCCATTACTAAAGATTAGTGTGTTTCAAATCGAGGATAGGCAATGAATGTATCGACAACCAACAGAAGTGTGCAAAATTATGTTCTGCAGTCTCTGTCAATGTCGTGTTCCTAAGATGTCTTCTTATGCGTCTTGCATGCTTCCTAACTATTTTACAAACTCAAAAAGTTAAACTGATATATTTTGTTATTTTTTTGGTTTTCATTGCACAACTAACTTCTTTTTTGAATGTCAAACAGTTAGGCATTTTAAGTCGAATCCAGTAAGCTATCTACTAATTTTTTCCTTGTTATTTTTTGTTTGCAATTTAGGGTCTGTTTGGTTCGAGGGAGGGAAGGAGGGGAGGGGAGGGGAGGTGAGGGGAGAGGAGGGGAAGGAGGGGAGGGGGAGGAGGGGGAGGGGAGGGGAAGCTCCCCCCCAATTTGGAGGGGAGGCTTTGGAGGAGGGAGGGAAATTTGTAAAAATTTCCCCTCCCCTCCTCCTAACCAAATGAGGGGAGGGAGGGGCTCCCCTCCTCCTAACCAAATGAGGGGAGGGAAGAGGAGCCCCTCCCCTCCCCTCCCCTCCCCCCGAACCAAACGGAGCCTTATAGATGTGCGCAGGAGCTGTAGTACTCACTGACTGTGTGTTCTGGCTCATTCTCTATCCATTTCTGAATGGGAAAGCAATCACACTGGATTTTGTAAGTACGATCAGTTCTGTTCGTGGCATATATTTTTCTCAGGATTTTATTTATTTTTATTTTTTTTGGGAGGGGGCAATTGTAAAGTTTTTGGCCATACTTTCCAGTGTTGCAGTTATGGGAAAATAAAGATAATTTCTGTCATTTTCATCAAAGTTGCTAGCGGTTTTGTTCATCACTTTGCTGAATCAACATAAATCATATTTTTTGTTCTTTGAACTATCTGATAAACAATAATTAACAATAATTACCACATTCAATACGTTAATCATGACTGAGAAATCTTGGAGATGGGGAAATGTGTTTGTACATGATGCTAACTTCACTCTTGAAGAGTAATGGAGTCCTTCATGCTACCCTTAGATTTTGTAAAGGGAATTTTTCATCTGAAAAGAATTTTGCACTATTAAATTGCAGTTGATTGTTTGCATGCACTCAGTTAATGCTGTTTTCCTTCTCGGTGACATGGCACTGAATTGCTTGGTGAGTTTGGCATCTCATGGTTTAAATTTCTTTCTCAATGATCAAGTTCTGATTCACCATTGTCTCTTGGTAACATATCAGAGATTTCCAATGTTTCGGTTCGGGTATTTTGTCTTGTGGACAAGTATGTTCGTAATTTTCCAATGGATCCTCCATTTTTGTGTTTCAATGTGGTAAAACTCAGTCTCTCTTCACTCTCCAACATAGCTTTCCAACAAAATTATGGTCTTAATAATTTTGCTAAACTTCTTTGCAGGTGGCCTTATCCTTTCCTTGACTTGTCATCCCCATCTGCTCCCTTATGGTATGTTGTTAATTCTGTTTCTGACCTTCATTCAAATGATTTTCTCCTCCTTGTGTGTGTGTGTGTGTGAGAGAGAGAGAGAGAGAGGGAGGGAGAGGGAGGGAGGGAGAGCATATGCTAAGAAACTAAAGAATGAATAGAGACAACAAGAGTTTCTAAAAATGGAGAAATTCTTAGGTAGACTCATTCAGCAAGATAAGGGAGATTATCTTGATGAATGAGTCTATATATTTGTTCATGATTGGCCTTGATCTACTTTTCTTTTATAGACCAGTCTCCTAGTCCCAGAATGGCTGGCAGATTGGCTTGTGATATTTGAATGTTACTAGACAAGATTATACAAGCAAGTGAAATCTTAAATATCATTTTCAGTAAATGTCTTGAAATGTGACCAACTTGAAAACAAAAGATGGGATCTTTCAAGCAAGAGAGAGCATGTTCAGATAATCTTTACTTATTGCTGTGTATTGCAAAACTTGGACTTTTAGGTACCTAGCAGTGGGTCTGATGCATATTCCATGCTATGGAGCATTTGCTTTGGTAGTGAAGCTGAAGCAGTTGTGGTTGTCAAGATCATTTCCCGGCTCCTCTCAGATTGTGAGATGAAATTAACGTATTGATTCCAGTGTTCGTTCTTGCAGAAGGATTCTGAACAACAATGATGGTTGTAAAAGCTGTTTTTGTGAAGCCCTAACATTCTCTCTCTTTAAGAAATACTAAGAGGCGTGTCTAGAGGAGCTTGCCATTATTTTATCTCTGTGGCCAATGTTGAGGGTAGAGATTCATGTTTGAATCTCTTACAATTTGTACTAAATTTGAGATGAGTCGTATTGTCGATAATTATCGTGAAAAATGAATTCCAGGCAGTTTCATTATTTAAAATTTAAAATGGACTGGAATGAAGTCTAGCAATTTTCATTGTGTCTTGTTGAATTATCATGTGAAAATAAAGAATTAGTGGGTGGATGACAGTTTCATATGAAAATTTAAGCATAAAAAATGATGATTTTATGTTGAAGGTGAAAATGAGAAAAGTTAGCTGTTTGCAAAGAGAGATTTTTGTTTTTCTTTTAGCACCAAGCTATAAATTTAGACAGATAGCATGAAGGATTAAACGGTAATTTGGATTTTAAATTATAGGTCCAGCCTGAACAATTAAATCTGGGATAATGTCACTCTGCTGTTAATTTCAAACTAGCATCCATCTTTCTCACTCTGGTGTCTCTTCTTCCACCAAGAAGTCTTCTTCCATCCACTTTGTCAGAATTTGCCCCATTCCCTTTCTCATTCCTCATCTGCTTTTGCTTGCTAGGGGTGCCTTTATCTGATCTGTTGCTCTAGTCTTCTTGCACGTGGATACCGAAGATCATAGACGAATTCACACTTCAGGTGCTTTTAGCTATTTCCAACTATTCTATCGAGTCTCTGAGCCTGTCTTGTTTTTCTCGATCTTGCATTTTCTTTCTCTCTTTTTATATAAGAACTCTTTCTGCTTTCTGCTTTCTTTTACGAAGTCTTTGTATCCCACGAATGTGGATGGCCCTTCCCAAATCCGCATCCAAGTGGGGAGAGAGGGAGGACGTTAGTTTGGTATTACCAGCATAGGCAAGATAACTTCAAATTTAATTATTTAAAATTTAAAATGTACTAAATACGAATTTAATATTTAAATTTCTATTTAACTCTAATATTAACGTAAAAAAAATTATTGATAACCAACTTGATTAGTTAAATAAAAGGGTAAAAAAAAATTGATCCCTAAACTATAGGTCTAGAAATATTTAAAAATTTAAACTTGTTTTTGTGTATTGTTTCCTTTCAACTTTTAGAAATAGTATAATGTATGATATGTCATTAACAACAGCTAATTTTAATCGTTGACTAGAAAGGGACTAAAAAATTACAGAATATTTTCCTGGTTTTCAGTTCTTTTTTGTAATTTTTTTGATCTTTTTTTATTATTTTCTAATCAATTAGCAGTTAAACTTAATTTTTATTAATAGTAAAGATTATATTTACTTTTTTTCAAAAGTTAAGACGAGAATTACTTAAAAAGTGAGTTTAGAATTGGAGACACCATGGGTCTTATAATTTAGGGGGCAAATTACCCCTGAATAAAACGATAACATATCTTTTTTCACTCCTTGACTTCTCAAATGAAATGATAAAAAGAAAAAAAATATTTTGAAAGTAAAAACCGCGTAAGGTTTGTTCTCTTTCTATTCTTGCGCCCTTCTCTATGTTATGTTAATTAAACATATTTTCTGTGAATTATATACCTCGGTTTAAAATAAACTGTAGTCCATCGCGTATTATAAATACTATAACTTCCCTCTCTCTCACACACGCATTTTAAATGATACTCCTTTCATAAAAAATATAAAATATTTTTAACTAAATTTTTTTAATAAAATAATTACTTATTTTTAAACTAATTTTATCTTTTCATATTTACTTCCTATTTACACCTAAAAAAATATAAAGTGATCTATTCAGTAGGGTATTTTTGAAAAAAAAATAATGATTATACCTCAAAAGACTAAAAATATCTAATATTTTTAATATTTAATTTCTTAAAAAATGTCTATTGATAAAGTATATACAAATATATAAACTATAATATGTAATTTTTTTAATAAAATATTTGATATTCAGTACTATTGAAATATATTTGAATATTGTTGAGTTTCACAAATCATAATACGGGGAATAACTTTCCTAATAATAATTTTGCAATCATGTAAGCTTGAAGTTGAGACTTACTAGTCCTTGTCTAATTATCAACATGAGGTAAGCCATACTATATAATAAAATAATAATAATTTATAAATTCTTATAGTTTCTCTCAATTTTAAATTATATTCTAATAATTTATTTTATTTTAATGAAGTCCTTATAGTTTAAATTGTTAGAATTTTTTTAATCCCTAAAAGGTTAAAATTCTTGAATTTTTTCCTTAAAAAATATTTAGAGCTTTTATATTTTTATTAAAAGATTATATAACTTAAGAATTAATTAGTTACATAATTTTTATAATTCAAAATTTTTATAATTAGTTATCTTTTCTACATTATTTTTATGCACATAGAATTTTTATAAAAAATTAATAAAAATATTTACTTTGTTAAAAAATAAAAATATTTTTAACTGAATTTCTCCCTAATAAATTAGTTAATTATTTTTAAATTAACATTATCTTTTATATTTACCCTTATTTCATAGGGTGCTTAACTTGAAAGTAAATATAAAGTGATTTATTTATTATGTGACTTTTAGAAAATATATATTAATTATATCTTAAAATAATAAAAATATTTTATATTTTTTAACATTTAATCTCTCAAAAAAATACTTTATATTTTTTAACAGAAAGAGTATAAATACTGTATTAAATTAAATTATCTTTTTTTCCTGTTTTGGCCAAAAATATTAATAAAAGAAAAAACATAACTTTAAATCTCTGTACTTTGTTCACGTCTTGCTATAAGTCCCTACATTTTTTTTATGTTCTAAGTCACTACACTTTTGTTTTTCATTGTTCTTAGTTCCTCTATTTTTTTTGATATTTTAAATTTCTCTAAGGTTCATACACTTGTTTATTTAAGGACTTAGAACAGTGAAAAATAAAAGTATAGAAATTTAGAATACCCAAAAAATAGAGGGACCTATAACAAAATATGAGTAAAGTGCAAGAGTTCAAAGTTATGTTTTTTTCTTAATAAAATTTTGGGGTTTTGTAGATACAACCTATATTATAGGATTAAATCAAACAAACAACCTAATATTTATTATGTGATACATCATGACTATTTTATTATATTTGTCAATGACACACTATTATATATTAATAATAAATTTCTTGTAAATTTTTAATTTTTAAATGATAAAGCCTTTCAATATGAACTGGCCACATTCTGAAATTTTAAAAAATTTGGTCCATATTTTTTAGGTATAAGATTTTTTTTTAGCTTGTGAGCCAATTTATCCTAAATTTTTTTATAAATTTTAAAAGTGTTTTTATTTTGAGAAATTTAATCATTCAATAATAATTTTAACTTTTAAAGATTAACATATATAATGGATCAACTTTTAAGGATTAACATATAAGGATTAGCTTTGAAATGATTTCCAACAATCTATATTAAATTTGTATTGCCCAAGTGATGAAAATATTTGTTACAAATAATTATATAACTTTAGAATTAATTAGTTACATAAATTTTTAACTCAAAATTTATATAATTAAGTATGTCTACTAAATAATTTTTATACATATAAAATTTTTACAAAAAATTAATAAAAATATAAGCATTGTATTGAATTAAATTCTCTTTTTTGGCCAAAAATATTAAATCAAAATTTTTGGGTCAAATTAAATCAAATTTTCTATAAATTTTAAAGGTATTTTATTTTGAGAATTTTAATCGTTCAAAAAATAATTTTAGTTTTTAGAATTAACGTATATAACGAATCAAACTACAAGCATTTAATTAAAATAAAATAAACTACAAAAACTTAAGTCAAAATTGAAATCAATATAAGGACCTGAGGTTTCTTTCCCTATATAATATAAATAAATTCTTATTATTTATTACTTTATTTCCCCTGTTTATAATATATTCAATATGTGAACATGTAATTTTGTATAACTTTCTAAGCACCCATATGTTTATTTATGACCCGAATAATTCATGTAACAATATAAATAAATAAATAATAAATGGATGCAAAGTGGCATGGATAGGAATACAATTACAAACACATTATACATACATACTTCACACATATACATACATGATGCATATATCATTCAAATAGAAAGATGCACAAATGGCAATAATCCTGCATGTAAGATCACGTCGGAGAAATTAAGTACCCGTGGGATGGCATTCCTTTGAATATGGCTGCACACTTCAGGCGTGACAAATGCGCAATATTCTTAGTAGATTTTTCTTTCCTTCTCATAAAAAATAATAAAATTTTCTTATGTGATGCATGAAATAAAAAATAATTTTAGAACCAACTAGCGCGTTGAATTTGGTAAAAGGGATTAATCTCTCCTAGATTAATATTTAAATTCTTGTTGAGAAGTGCATATTTAGTACCTAATTGTATTTTGAATAGAATTATTTCTAATAAAAAGATATATGTCCATAATAAAATTAAGAAAAAAAAATAGTACGGTCTTGAGCAGTTATAATGTATGACATATATATAATGATATGGGTAATAAGAATTTTAATCCCTCAAAATTTATTTTAATTATCAATTTAATTTAAGTTTAATTTTATAAATCAAGTCATTGAAATTTTATAAGCATATATAATTAGTCCTTATGATTTTAAAGTGTCACCACGAGGACTAATGGTCATGAAACTTTAAATACTTGATTGATAAAGACTATACTTTAAGAATTAAATTGATAACTTAAACCCAAGTACTTGAAAATGGACTGAATATTGAGCCAATACAAATAGTAATTAAGGGTTAGCAATGCAACAAGAGTTCAACTCAAAGTCAGGTCAGTCATAATATATTTTAATTTAAATATGTAAAAATATTCAAATAAAAATTTTATTTTCAAATAATGAAAAATCCATCCATAAAATCTTATATGTGTCTTAGAAAAAAATAAAATACAGCAACATTGAAAATATGAATTAAAGGATTTAGATTTAATTTATTATCCAATATTTAGAAGAGAAAAAAAAAAGAAAAATAAAAAAAAAGTAAACTAAGTCGATTGGGTTGAAGTCAGGTTTCATAGCTTCCCCAGTTCAACTTATCAATTAGACTTGTCGGGTGACTGATTATCGGGTTATCAACCCAATCCGATTTTTGTATCATGACTTATACAAACAAATTGATGGACCAAAAATTTCTATATGTAAGGAAGATATAGAAGATTCGAGGCTCTTATCTA